AGTTTGAGATCACGGGCAGGAAGCTGCGGGATGAGAAGTTGCCGGGATACCAGCAGCATTCTTGGTGGGGATATCATTGCCAGCTGCTGGAGGAAGGAGTATGTATCCGTCGCGGCATTGGCGGGGGAGATTTGGGAGTTGGAGCTCGATGATGACGGAGATACCGATGGGTATGAGATGTGGTTTGTGGCTGGGTCGAACAGTCCTCGTTCCATGGCAAGCGTCAATGACCAGCCTGATGCGGAGATGCTTGGTGAGGATAGGATTGAGGAGCTGCGTGTCGTTTGCAAGGGTTTGTGTAATTGCTTAAATGGAAATTGATAGGGGACTGTATTGTTTTGTACATACACACATGTACATCACTCGCGTGTTCCACATATTTTGCTTTTTCTAACTTGCTACTCTTACGAGGAGGATTCAGGGGGAAAGCGGATTTTTCCTTGCTCTGGGAAGGGCGTTGGCTATCTGGACGGACGGACAGATGGACGGGTACGTTAGGGACAAGAATTCGGGCACAAACTTTCTACGTGCTGTACTTATGATCTTCCTGCTTCGTTTTTCAATTAGTTTAGTCCACTATCTCCACTCAAATTGCAGATAATCTAGGACACTGCTTGCCTCGTCCCGCGTAAAAACGAATGGACGACCGAACATTACCGGAGTCCAGTTCGAACCGGCGTAGAATTCGAGCACTAGAGAGGCAGCATTCCTTCATGTGTCTAACCAACACGTAAAACTAGATAGGCATAAGTGATGATCTAAGGGGCACTTGGAAGTGTGTCGGCAGCTGTGGACATTGTTCATTTGCGTGTACAAAAGCAAGCAATATATGTCAAATTAATCGTACATTTACTCTGGTTGATCGAATCGGTTGACTTTAGAAACATTAAATCGTACAAAACCTATGAATCCCTTCTACCCTTTAACAAAGCGACACATTGCAACAGATAAGTAAACACAGCCGACACAGATAAGTCCATCCATCCATTTCTAGGAGAGGTCATTCGTGGGAAGAAAATGAGAGAAAAATGAAAATGAAAACGAAGCGAAACATTAGATACTGCTGACAGCTTCACACTTTTCTCAACCTTTATCCTTCAAATTCGTACGCTCATTTGGTAAAGGGGAATAGAAGAAAACGGGAATAGAAGAAAACGGGAATAGAAGAAAACGGAAGGGGAAATTGACGGAATAGGGAGAACACAAGTGATCCCAACCCAACATATGGAGTAAAGAACAAAAGCCACCATGTGGAATGTATGCATGCAACCGGACTCCCTCTTTTGCAAGTTCAAATTTTAGCTTGTGGTTTAGAAGCCAGAGGAAAAGGAGAGGAAAGGAAAAAGAGAAATTCCAGATTCGCGTCAAACGCCAGCTGAAACAAGTGGAACTGAGGTCCTGGGAAGAGAAGATGGTTGGAATAAGGGCAAAGCACAAATGTGCATACAAGGGTTAACGAGAAAAGCTGACAACCGTAGCTACTCTGAAATACTAGTACCTTCTGATTCCGAAAAGGCAAAGGAAAAGGGATGATAAGGAGTAGAATCAAAATAAGAGAAGAGACGAAAAGAGACGAAGATAAAATCGAAATCAAAATAAACAGAAAAAAAGGATTAATTTGATTTAATCTCATCAACAAGTTCAAAGATATCGCGGCGGAGAGTCGGATTGTAATCAGCAATCTCTATCAGCTTATTCCTCGAAGAGAAGAAAATGACATAATTCCATGACTTATTCCCATGTTCGGGGCCCGCAGATTCCTTCGGCAGATTGCGAATCACGTTGCGCAAAATGAGGATCGCCTTGTATGCGATTCCGACGGAGCTCGCCTTTTTCATCGATAGGAGTAGGGGTAGTAATCGAAGAGTCGTGTGAGTTTTGGCTGGATAATTTTGCGTGGGGGAGGCGGCGGGGGTGAGCTCATATCCTGCAACGGTGGAAGGTGGGTGGAAACGTGGCCGGCGACACGGGCAGTGTTGATCGTCGGAATTTCGTAGTCCTTGCATGTATCCCAGGCACAAATGTTGGTAGGACGTCGCGCATCTTGCAAGTTCCCTAGATCAGCCGGGTTGAGTAACATGTGCTCGCGGAAAACGTGCTCCTTGAGTTTCGCGGGATCAACGAATGAGACCCTGCATTGACCATTGGGAACGTTCCATTTGCACTGGCGGTATGGATATCCATTTAGGTCGTAAGATGTCTCAAGAGGACGGATGCCTCTAATGATGAATTTGGCTACTGGGCCGGTAACAACCTGCGCTTGCGCTGATGAGAATGTGCGGCTAACAGTGTTGATAAACTCCGCCGCCGGAAGAGTGCTTACACCAGGCACTCGCTCATCCGCGAAACAATTCTGATAAGCGTGCCAGAGAGCAAGTTGGGTGATGTCACACTCTGGATCTTCGATGAAGCAGCATTTGAGCCAACGAGAGCAGCGTTCAGGTTCGGGGAGTTGCAATAGCATGGAATGGAGATCTGGTGGCACTATAGGAATACTACTTGCGGCGGGTGCCTTGCATTCTTCTTGATCCACTATCTCGTTGACGTCCCGTTCACCCTCAAATAAGAGGAGGTTAGTCAAACGAGGGATAAGAGTGGTTGGAAGAGAGAAATTTCTAAGAAGCTCTTCGACATTTTCCGGAATTGCTGTGTACTGATAGAAGAAGTCAAGAGTTCCCGAAAGAAGTTCCTTGTCCTGTTCGAGTAGTGTATAGCTCATGAGCATATTAATTTTATCATCTGGGATGCCCTGAAGACGTTTGATCGTTTCAAGTTCCATCGAGAAGAGAATCAAAATCTTTAAAGATGTCAGGATATGGTATCTATCAGATGACCCTAAAAGCCCAAACAGGACGCTGAAAAGGGGGTCCTCCGGGTCAGTTTCCCAGTAAGGGCAGACTTGCTCGATCGTGTCCAGCGCGTAATTTAGGATTTCATTAAAACGTGGCTGACGGGGAGTGTTGAGTACGACAAGCATGCCATCCTTGAAAATCTCTAAAGTTGATAGAAAAACGGCGTTCGCCTCTAGCATCGACATATTCCGCAGCGTCAGGGCAGCTTCCTTGATGTTTCTAAGATTGTGGGCAAATTCCTCCGTCTCCACGTGTCATCGCGA